GTATGAAACTGTCGAGAGATAGCTATCCTACAGAGTCCTTTACGTTATAGTAAATCATATTAAACAGTATGAAACAGTCGAGAGATAGCTATCCTACAGAGTCCTTTACGTTACAGTAAATCATATTAAACAGTATGAAACAGTCGAGAGATAGCTATCCTACAGAGTCCTTTACGTTACAGTAAATCATATTAAACAGTATGAAACAGTCGAGAAATATTTGTCCTACAGAGTCCTTTACGTTACAGTAAATCATATTAAACAGTATAAAACAGTCGAGAAATATTTGTCCTACAGAGTTTTTGCGTTATAGTAAATCATATTAAACAATCGAGAGATGTTTGTCCACGCAGTTTTCAACGCTACAATAAAACTTATTAGACACCGATTGACAGGTAGTTACTTTTCCTGCATTTCAATTAATTTACTGACAGTGCATCACATCAAACACTACTGAGTAACCAGGAGATACTTGTGCTACGGTATTTTTTATCTTACAGTAAAGTAAATCGTATTAAACACTAAGGCATATTCAAAAGATAATTCTGGTAGAGTAGTTTTTACTTAAAGTAAATTATATTAACACAAAGAATGAGCGTGTTGAGAGATTCTTGTTCAGCAGTTATTTCTACTTACAATAAATCGTACTAAACACTATGGAATGGTCAATAGATGTTTGTCCTACAGTTTGTTTTGTTCTTCTTTACAGTGGAACATGTTAATCATTATATGAGAGTCGTGAGTTAATTATGCTCTGTTATCTTTAACGTGATCAACACCATATATATACCGTATACAGGGCTTTGTCACACTTTGCAATACAAGCATATACAGTAATATCTAATGACGTCGTTTAACACTTGTCTTATCTAAGTTGATAGCTATTTTCAAGCAAAACGTGTCAGAGAGTTTGTAACCTAAATATATTTTATTTAGTTTTATTTTCCTTCTCTATTTCTATTAGTGAGCAGACAGTGGTGAAAGTTGCTTTCTATAAAAAAAAACAAAAAAAACACGATCCTCGGTAAAAACCGTCCAATACTGTCGGAAACATTTTAGGACCACAAAGTGGATTGTGTGACTATTCGCAACGTCCTTAATAGTGTTTTATAAAACAAGCCGAAACTTTGTTTATTTGGATATGTGTATCAGAGATTTTGTTCATCTCCTAAAATGATAATGCTTATGAGATAGTGTAGAAAAAACCAGCTTTTACCTTTAGTTGAGCTGTATTGAATGGCCGAAGCTTTACGTTGATACGGGTCCGATCCTGGCTATATAGCTAAAGTTTATAGTTTTCAAAATCGCCAAGTTTCTCTGCTCTGCTGTTGATTGAAACTACAGGTGGCTTTTATATTGTCTGCTTGGCGCGTGGGTGCGATCAGTTAGGTGAGCTTATGCGTTTTGACGCCAATGAACGAGGTGGTTCCCGAAGTGAATAGGCCAACAGGAGCAGTCCGTGCAGCTCGCGGTTTCCGCCTCCGTACGTCTTCCTATATGGTGAATCTTCACGTGATCTTATGGTATTCAGAAAACAACTAATAACCTAACTACTCTAACCTAACGTTCGCAGATTTAGAAACATATGTTTAGAAATTTCTAATGTTGTTCGTTAAAAAATGATAATTCTTTATTCCTTAATAATATTTTGTATTTTGATGTATTTGCAATCACTCTGATTTTAGTTTTCTTTTTATTCTATCTTTTCTCTCTCTCTCTCATCATTTTTATCCAGTTACCTGAATCTCTTTGTCTCGTCACTGGTTTTCTTTTTCATGATCTTCAATCAGTCAACCTTTATCTAGTTTTCTATTAATTTCTCTTTCATCATTTATTATCCAATTGTCAAGAGTCTCTTTATTTCATTCACTTCCTTTCTCCAACTATTTCTGTTTAATTGCCCAGAATCACGTTCTTTTCCTTCATTTCTTTTATAGTTTTCATATAAACACCCTGATTTCTTCTCCTTCTCTAATGTTCTTAATTGTTTTCTCCAATTATTCTAAATCTCTCTTCTCTTTTCATATGTTCTCTCTCTCTATCAATATACTTTACACAATCATCTTGAATGAATATTTTCATTATCTTTCAATCTTTTTATTATTCTCTATTTTTTATCCCTGAGTTTTCTGTTTTGTTCATATCATTTCACTTTTACGTTTCTGATATTTAATTTTATGTTTATTTGTTCTGTTTTGTTCTTTCACTTGTCTCTTTCCAATTTTCATTCTTTATACAGCTTTTGTTGTTTGTTTTTTTATTCTACCCACATCTTTGTTTTATTTTTCAACTTTCTTTCTTCTTATATCTAATGACTCGGTTTTTAAATAGTTATCTTTTTTGTCTTCCTTTAATTTGTAGCTTTCAAACACGCGTAGTTATTCACCTTTTTGTATCACTGTCGTATACCTGGGATCAGTGTCTTAAATATTATAATTTTTCTTTTCTGTCTTCTTTTTAATACTTTCTGGTATTTATAGTGGTAGTTTTATTTCACTTTCTATATGTAGAATGCTTCTGTTTGAATGAAACTATATTGGTTGATTCAGAATAATTAGAAATAGCTCATAAGAGTTACTGGAAGTATATTATTTTTGCATTTTCTTTGAGGAACCATATATACAACAACTAAATCCTTGGTTTATCTAAATTATGCCTTTATTCTATTTACGATGTTATAAAGTTTTACTTCCAGCAAGTTAGTCTAGAGATAAACGTAACTACTAAAAAGGTAATTTACTTTATCATTTCAGTAAATAAATTAGATTTACTATCTTTTCGAAACCACAAATGTACCAGAAATAAGAAAATTGTAGATTTATTTTTAAGTCTACTGCACATTTACACAGCTTCCCGCAGACTCGGGTTATGACGGAATTAAACAAATGTAAATAATTGTTCGCTCTGGGTAAAAAAAAAAATAGTTACTTATTACGTTTTGTCACTTAAAATCCAAGTAAATTTGAAGGATGTAAACTTAAGTTTCTTCAGAAGCTATTCCTCATAATCAGGTGAGATGTACAGTTTACCAATACCACTTTCACAACACTAATTCAGAGGGAAAAATCCAGAGGAAGATTTTAATTATCTATTAACTCTTTTCAAATTACAAAGTTGTTAAGAATATCATGCTGTTTGTATTGTGACTATCTCAGACAATTTCTTTAAACAAATCTCACTATCATTTCCAACAAATCTGTTACGTTTGCATCGCTTCTTATCATCAAGTTTTGCATTTGTTATTGTCTATTTATCATAAAGTACTGCAAACATTTTTCATTTGAGTATCAAATTTTACATTTATAATTACACGTATATAACCTAATTGGCTTCATAAATACGTAAACGAGAAAATCAGGGATGCATTCCATAAGTTTTCAATTGATAGATAGAATGGAAATTTTACATAATTATAGGACCTAGGAATTTAGTTTAAAAATAAATTAGGAAATCCATAAGAGTTTATAAGAAACAGCTGACTAATAATGTGATAACTAACAACAAGATTTTTTGTAAGTATATTAAAGATAAGCAAAATGGGGTTGTAAAACATTTAAATGTTCTTTTCTGTTTTCACAATAGAAGATGTTTATCAATATTCCTGAGCCGAAGTATTCTATTGGAAATATTTGGATTGATTTGAATCGTTTAAGTAATGGTACCTTAATGGTTAAATGACAGATTGATATATTACAGTGGATAAAGCACCAGGATAAGATAATATTTTATGGTTTTAAAGAACATCAAAGATGAGATATACAACTCTCTTTCCTTAATTTTTGATAGGTCAATAGACAGTGAACTGATGTCTGAGAGTTGGATAATTACCATAAAACTCCTATTTTTAAAGGGGGAATGATAAGAGTCACCCTGAAAAGTAAAGACCAGTTAGTCTGATTAAAGCAGATTTACTAAACCATCCAGCATGGTTTCACTAAAAGGAAACTTCACCTTACTGATCTGTTAACTTTTTTCGAGGATGTTATTTTCTGCATGATGGAATGGATATGATCTTGATGTATTTAGATTTTCAAAAAGTTTTTTCTTAAGATAACAAATAAAAGATTAGTTAAGAAAATCACACCAACTGAAAGTAGTAAACTGGATTGTGAAGCGAGCTATTGGATGGGAAAAAGGAAAAGTCATTTTAAACTCTTGGGATTTTCTTACTTTATTAGTATGGCATAGATTAATTGAACATATATTTGGCAAATTATCTTTACTTGAGGCAGGTGCAAGATAACTAATATGGGTATCGTAATTTGATTCATACGTTTAATATTGGTGGGAGCCCTCTCACTAGTGTGACTGAAAAACAGGATGTACGCATCGAAGCAGAACTCTATTGTTAGTGAAGCTAATAGAATTTTGGGATTCATTGATAGACATATTTATTACAAGTGAAAATGGGTAATTATCCCTCTATTGAAATAAATAACTAGTTAGGCCTCACTTGGAATACTGTGTACAGTTTTTGATTTAAGAAAGAATGTTGATTTGTTGGAAAGAGTTCAAAGGAGGACTAATATGATGATTCCGAAGAGGGGAGGGTATATTATGAGGATAGAGTAGGATCTATCAACTTAGTTTACCTTGAAAAAAGAACGGTAAATGATTTCTTATTGAACTTTACAAGATTATCCGAGGGATCAATACGATAAACGCCTCTGATTCGTTTGGTGCTATAATAGAGTAAGATCTATCAACTTAGTTTTCCTTGAAAAAAACAAACGGTAAATGATTTCTTATTGAACTTTACAAGATTATCAGAGGGATCAATACGATAAACGCTTCTGATTCGTTTGGTGCTATAATAGAGTAAGATCTATCAACTTAGTTTACCTTGAAAAAAAAACGGTAAATGATTTCTTATTGAACTTTACAAGATTATCAGAGGGATCAATACGATAAACGCTTCTGATTCGTTTGGTGCTATATTTTAAAGATAAGAGAGTAAAAAAGGTACAAGTGTAGAATTTGGAAAAGAAAGGATACGTTCCAATTAGAACAGTTTTTTTTTTAATAACAGTGATAATGGCCTATAGAATGAGTTGCCGTCGGTAGTCGGAGTAGAGGCTTAAACCTTAAGGTTTAAAAGGGTAATCGGTAAAATGAAAATGTGGGCTTATGTTTTTACTTGTTCCAAGGATGATTATCCAGGGACAGTTATGAAGGTCTAAATATTTCTCTGTTATTTCTTGTTTATCGTCAAATTCTGCGGATGTTATTGCCTGTTTATTACCAAGCATTGTAAATACTGCTGCTTAAATATAAAATTGTTTAGATACTTTTTTTTTTTTGTAATCATAAAATGCTTCAGGTACCACAGTTAAAATATTAGATTATTTATATGTTATGTGTTGTTATCGATAAGTTCGACAGATATCATAATTTTTCCATCGTCAAGCTTTGTTTGTTTTGTTGGATTTAGAGCAAATCTACTTGAGGGCTATCTGCTATTTTCCAATGAAGGCAGCTAATTAATATCATCTACCGCCAACTATTGGGCTACTCTTATCTGTCCGAGTAATGGGATTTGAACGTTACTATTATAATACACACACACGGCCTCAAAGTGCGATTCACGGCGTTTTCCTTTTTTTTTCTTCTTCTTAGTTTTGTTGAGGTAACAGAACGTGAACCATTGGGCCGTATTTGCTTTTTATCATTAATTGTTCTTCGAATATCAAATTGTGCGTACATACTATACTATTTATTTCTCTTTTTTTAAATTGCTGCAGACAACATGTTTGAATAACCCTCAATCAATGAGAAAAATAAACAAGGGGTCACTTGTCAGAAATACTTACTACCGATAGAGGTCACGACAGGCAGTTTTAAGATTCACCTGGATCGAGGTGGATTTGAATTAATCTACATTTTTACACAACTTCTGGTACAATGTGTCAACTATTTATGCTCCATTTTTTCTTATCATTAAACTAAACTGAAAACTAAATTATTGTCACTTTGTTGTTGTTTTTTCTAAACAAAACATTTTTGTGAAAAAATACTAATTTAAAACTCACTTGTAGCTTAATGACAGCATACAAAATGACGTAACCATGTAGTTTTCATTTGATAATTTAAATATTGTCCAATAATACGCTTTTCAACAATAAAATAAAGATAGCTGAAGTAGTAAGGATTAGCTTTATACCATTGTGCGTTGGAACATAACTGAATAACAAGAACAAGATACATCTAAATGTTACTATCACATTAATTCAGTTTTATAAGCGGATTGTTTACGTATATATTTTTAATGATGATTTCGGCAGAGAAGGTAAAACTAGTGCTCACGCGATTCCTGGGGTCTTCTAGTTGGCGACGTTTTGGTAGG